AACCATTATTGTAAGATGGGGATCATGCTAAGGGGGATTAGAAGAAATATACTACATTCAAACCAGCTGTGTCTATAATAGAGTTGCTGACATTGCGGCAAATTAAGATTGGTACTGTAGTCTTGAATTAATTGTGTTCTTGATAATATACACTGTTTGTTAGATGCATTGTTTAAAAACACTTTATAATCATCCTGGATAACCTCTCCCATCCTTTTTATGTCCATAACGGGAATGTTGCTGGAAGTCAACAGTCCCGGAAGATCAAATAATTTATACCTGTGCCGCTAGGTCAAAAACTACAATGTTTGCAGTGTCTGTAGATCAAAAGTCCCAGTAAGTCAAATAATACAGTCCGAGCTAAAAACGTGGTCTATGTTAAAGCAATTGACTTATTGGGAATTTGACCTAATGCAACAGCAGTTTTAATATAACGAAATACGGTAAAATACAAGTTCAGTTTCGCAGTCAACAGTGCCGGAAGATCAAAAGCAATAAAAGTGAACGTCGATTCAGTGTAAAGTAGACCTCCTGCAACGCTTACTACACCAACAAAACTCGCTTTTAGTTACTTCGTGTTTTGTCATAATTAGAATAGAGCTAAAATTATCATATTTGGTACATAGCTTATCTGTTAATGCTTCTTGCCAACTGTTTGGTCAACACTGTAAATAGGTATAGCCTTTCGTCAAAATTTGTGGCATAAAATACCCGCAAGGACGATCTGAAAATTTCTGGTTATTATATACGTTTGTAAAAGGAGATCCATTTAATTGTAGAACTATTTTATGAGTTAAAATGTAGTCTACATATAAACTGTGTAAATGTATTACGCTTTCGAAGGGTTGAAACCTGTCCAAACAATCATATATATTATTAAAACGTAAATGGGGTTTTTACACGATTCTGAATCAACCAGACGATGGATTTTCATTAGTTTTGTGTTGAAAGAAAGACAATTTTGAGAACTAGGGAATTTCAAAGCTATAATTTAAAATTAGTGTCCCAGTTTTTTTATAAATTAAGTTTTAGTTTTTAAAAAGTCTAGCATCCGATGCTAACCTTCTCCAATAAGTCAATGCTTCTAGCTAGCTTTTAGTACAATATAATTTGCAGCTGTAACATTCAGCATTTGTGACACAAATTCAGTATTTGGAAGAAAATTCAAATACATACTTATGGTTGTCTTATTTATACTATGTGTAGTGCTGACCATTGATACATTTAATTCTTCGGTACGAGGATGGCAGATTAATTAAATATGCATAGTAAAATACAGTAGTAGGATGTTCAAATGATTTTTTAAAGTATTCTTTGTAATCATCGATTTGTTTTAGTCCAATATAATTTGTTTTAACTAACAGCTGGTTGAATGTGCTATGTATACTTATAAAAGGCAAAGCCCTCACTGACACACTCACTCTCACTCACTCATCATCACTAATTCTCCCACTTCCCATTTACCTAGGAGGCTGAAATTCGATACACCGATTCTTTGGGCATTAAATAGGAAAACTGAGTAATTTTTATTATGATAGGGCATTCGAGCTTCGCCCCAGTGGCTCTGGAGTTTCCCATGTTAACCTTATGATTTTTCATATTTAAAAGGAATTAATGAATCTTAACAGCTGTGTCAATTAAACAATTTATGACAACAGCTAATTTGAAACCAAAAGCTGAGTGAGCGTTACGAACGAACTTCAACCTGGAGGCGAGTTAACCCCAAAGCAAGTGAGCTCAGCGAACGAGCTCCAACCTAAAGGTGAGTGAGCGTAGCGAACGAAATTCAGCCAGGACGTGATTGAGCCATGCGAACGAGCTCATCTTGAAAATTAATTAGTTAAACGGGGCAAAGCCAGCGGGTACAGCTAGTTATTCTATAGAATTATTAGGTTTTTAGCGAATTTCGCATATAGGGAATAAGCTATTACCGTAGTACTCATGGCAACACCTGGACCCGGGACCGATGTAATTTTTCGTTTTGAGTCCCTAGAGGCCAAAAACACCATACGTTCAAATTCATATATATGTAAGTGTATAAGACATTTTGGGGACTTGACTTTTTCGGGTCTCAAGAATTTATACGAAAATACACTATTGATTTCCGTATGTGTATAAGACATTCTGGGCACTTGACTTTTTCGGGACTCAAGAATTTACTACTTTTCGAGGACCTGTGCAAATTATTCCATTCCAAATGCAGCGCGTTATCGATCTTCACCCTTGTGTGGGCCTCCCATTCACTGACGGAATGTCTCGTGGCGTATGACGACCGGATATAAATAGTCACTTTACACTCACTTATCTCGTTATTTTTTCAGCATATTCGTTGACCCGTCTGCAGGTCTTATGTTGACGGGCTGTCAGAGCGTCTGTTGCAATAACTGGAATTCCTTATGTATGTATGTAATGCTGCTGATTACGGTGAAGTATTGTGAGAAATTTCACCTAATCTTTAAAGTTACCCATTAAATTCATAGAAATAATAATATTTAACTGTTTGACGAGTACCCCTATTGTATTCAAAGTACTAAACGGCCCAACCCAATATTTAATACAAGCCAAAGGTGTCTTATAGATTCCGAGTAAATTATTATAAACTATCAAATGGAGCATGTAAAGTGCATTATAAATAATCAACAAACCCTAACATAATTGACTATTGATTCAGTTACTGATTCGGGAATTACAATTGCTGATGATAACTGAATGCTCTGACCTGAAGCAGTGTTCTTCTTTACTTCTTTACCTATAAAACACATGGGATACAGCCTTTCTTCACTGATCACGTAATGCGTGATTTTCTATAAAGTCTTGGAAAAATAAAAGGAAAAATAGATAGAATACAGGTGTACTGTATGTGGTTTACACACAAATATTCATCAAACTGTGTGATAGTTTGTTATAGCAATGAACAATTTGAGAGTATCGTATTGTTTAAGTCGATAGAAAATCTCTGTTGATCCTGTTTTACAAGCAAACCAAAAAGATACAGTAGTCACCACTCTATGCGACATATTCTAACCAGAAAATTGTAATCGTATGATTCTATAAGCATTGGTAGGATTGCAAAGTACTACACAAACATTATTACAAGGGTAATAACAGTCACAATTTCCGCTGACTTTAAAAGAGTCAACTAAACTATTATACTAATGGACACACAACTAAATGGAACAACTAATGGAAATTCTCACGATGTACATTCGTTCGATATAAGCATTGAGTATACACGTCAGTACATACGTGTATACCCAATGATATAAGCAACGGTTCTTGCAATTTATTGCTTATTGTTTTTTAGAGTTGTTTTCGGACTTACTCTGTTTTCGGACTTACTCACACTCGTATGAGGTTTTCCACGTTTGTCATTGATAATGTAGCCATGTTGCTTTGAAATGGCGACCATACAAATGTATGCATTTTAAGCCAAGTATGAATGGAGATGAGTGTGGGATGAGTGGAGCGATCTTGTTGTCCTGTTTGTGACTAAGGCCGACATAATCCTTAGACACAGCTGTTAATTAATAGTGCATACAGCCAATTAATAGCAGCAGAGGTCAAGTTTGGTATCAAATTAGGCCTAAAGGTTTTATTCATAAAAATACATAGCCGCAAACCCAAACTCAAACGATGATGATGATAATAACGTTAATGATGTCGCTAAAACGTATCGTTTGAAATTTAACAGCTGAAAATAGATAAATATTTGTATGTAAAAAATACAAAATGGTGGATATCTATGGTTAACGAAACGATTTCGGAAAAAATGTTATCCTTGATTTTCTGTTTATTTTGACCTAAGGAATTACTAGGTAAAGTATCTCCCCGCTTATTTTTAACACCCTGTTTATGATGTATTCTTATAAGTGAAAAATGTAAGCTGGTAATACAGAAAGATGTTTTATAAATGATATGAATGTACTGGTGATCTGTATATTCATCCTTTTCTTGTTCTTAGAACTGTAAATTAAAAGTCCACTCAGCAGTCGCATCGTAGGATGTAGTTCTTTCCATGCGTTGCGAAATGCTAAATTTGCCGTCCTCTTCAACCCAAGTTATCTATTGAACCACTGATTGTAAAAAATTCAAAAAAAATATATTTTACGCATCACACTTTTGGCTACAACTTTGCCACAGACGAAACCTCTCTAACCCAAAAACAAAAAAATCTCGCATGCTAACTTTTTCATGTTAGAAATCACGATTTAAAACTATTTCACCATACATATCAATTTTTATTAATTAGATCGGTAAATAGTTTAAAGTTCCAACAAAATAGTCATCGAGTAGGACTAACCAAGAAGCTCTGTGCCAATTTTCAAAATTTTAGCACAACTTTAAGTACACCAAAACACGAAATTATTGAAGTCATGCGTCGAGAGGACTATCGTTGTTTTTAACAGATTATACTTTTGACCTTCCGGCACTGTTGACTCAGCGAAACTGAACTTATATTTTATCTTATTTCGTTATATTAAAACTGCTGTTGCATTAGGTCAAATTCCCAATAAGTCAATTGCTTTAACATAGACCACGTTTTTAGCTCGGACTGTACTATTTGACTTACTGGGATTTTTGATCTACAGACACTGCAAACATTGTAGTTTTTGACCTAGCGGCACAGGTATAAATTATTTGACCTTCCGGGACTGTTGACTTTCTGCAACGCGTCCTTCATAACGTGCCCAACAGTCTATTTTCTAATCAACACAAACAAACTAATGGGTTTTGTTAATAAAGTAAAATACAATTAGCTCGTTTTACAGCAAATAATCATTGGTCTTCTCAATTACATTTTGATAATGACAAAACTTGATAAATACTCTTGAAAACTTACATCTTCGATTAAGTAATCTTTTTGCTTTGACGTAGAGAACATTATCCAAAAATGAGTTTTCAAAGAGTTCGTTTTATCATATTACTCAGGCAGGGTGAGAACATGATTTTAAAATTGAACGTGGTATACTCACATGGACATTAGAAAAAGTATAACTTACTGTGTTCGCCAAATGTTGGTATCCTGAAACAAAAATAAAACACATGAATATTGAATCATTCACTGCACTACAAAACCTTACATGATTAATTAATCAACATATCAAAGATTACCATAACAAAATACAAACGTAGCATGGACATCATGAAATTTAAGAGTAAAGTAGTCACAAACCTTCGTTTTATTATAAAGTAAATGTAAACCAAGTTCTCAAAAGGAAATTTGCTACAATTACCACGATTGGTTACAGGATGTGTAACGTCTTGCATTGTTTCGAACGAAAATGTTTATAGCAGCGGTACAACTACAAGAAAAGTTGCTTTATTCCATCTCCCAGTTGGCTAGGAACATTGTTTTATCAAAACAAACGAGTTTGCACAAACTGTACTGTATTCCCTATTGCATCCTTCATCAAGCAACGGAGTAAAAATTGGATTTAACTAGCATAAACTTTTTCTAGCCGTCTTGGCTTCAGAACATCATAATCTTAAATTATAAATTGCATAATCCATGACCTTACCATGAAGACCATGGTATTAGCTGTGCCAAAATTATTAGTGCCTTCCTTCATATCTGAGGGTTGTTGGTTATATTCTGGATATTTCAGCACCGCATTGGCGTGTTATCGAAGACAAAGCCGTCATATCTACGCCACAGTTGCGTGTTGCGTATATCGACCAAGGTTTGTGGACCTACAAAATTGACACGTAAACCAGTCTTTGTCACCAGCACCAGGCTGCGATGCGGAATGACTTCTCTATACAGTAGTATATCAGCTGAATTAATATAAAGTCTGGAATCGTTTTTTCTCCTTTTTTTGCCCTAACGGACAATATTGTGTAAAGTAATTTTACTTCAAATTTCTGTGTAATAAGAATGGGTGTACTTTCATGGTGTTTATAGACATACCCGATGTGAAGATTTAAGAGAGTACCAAAACTTTAACTGCATAAATCGTCAAGATTTAATTAAAATAGGGAATGGCTTAAATTTTGTTGTGGGTTAAGTTAGTGACCTCTATTCAGTTTTCATTGTTCTCATTATTATACAGAGACATTTTTAATTAGGTGTTACTTCATGTAGGTTTAAATCTAAAATTTAACACTAATCTCAACAATGTGTGTTAAACATTTCAGTAGGGAGAGAACCAGGTATTTGAGAATTAGTAGAGACTCGTAAGTTTCCAATGGATCACTGAAATTTGTAGCAACCCCTTTTAATCTACGTAATAACCTTAAATTCAAGTTGTTCAAATCCAAAATTGCATCCGAACACTAATGTTAGAAAAGATTATGCCCCTTAGGCTAAGTTTTGATACAAACAAATCAGTAAAACGGTTAAGTGCCGATACGTGTGCATACTAAAGTACATAACCAATATTAAAGTACTAAAATGTTACAGCTTCAAAATCAGGGCAGGCAAGTCCAAGCGTAATTTAGTTTACTTGGCGATCTTCATTTGACCACACCAAGAAACAAGCTGCAGCTAGCTCATGGATGCAATATTTTTGTTTACACTTTGAACATTACACGGTAGTTCAGCCTCCTCAGTTGTCAAGTTGTTCGTAGATGTTTCTCAGTATATTTCACCAAGGTATGTTGTCACCGAGTGTGAACCACGAGACAGTTGGTCCTGCCGTGGTACCACATACCTACGTGTAATTATGTAAAGTACAGGTTCACTGAACCACCGACCTGCCTGCTGCTTGGTCCCTCTACACCGGTCCCCTAACTAATGTCTTCTCATTAACATTTTATTTATTGGTTCATATAAATTACTTTAGGATATTAATGTCCATTTAACATATCCTGGACACTAAACCACAAACAAATGGTAAATGTGACGAAATAAGTTTGAGGTAAACCAGTTTGGTATTTCAGTGTGTCTTTTATTACACTATCCTAAATTTTATCGTGTAGACTAGTCGATTTTATATCGACAGAGCAATAGTTGTAAAATTCTTGCCTACGGGCCACGAGCCACCCAATTTTTAAAGTGTTTTTTTACAGGATCGCAACATGTTTAACTTACTAATTTGCAGCTGTGCTAGTATGGATTAAAAAAACTGGATTTTTCTTCTTGTAAGATTAGAAACTGTTACAGTGAACAAAAATGGAATACATTTACAGTGTCTTTAAACTATCGTAAACAACGTACCTAAACATCACATAAAACTGTGTATGACTAAGCGAGTGGCCTTAACATTTAAATTTCGCTCCGTAGTTCACTTATTAACGACCCGAGGTAAAAGCTAGGTTGCGTAAAACGGAGTAGGCGATTTCATTGTTGAAAATCAAAGATATAAATAGTCTTTGACGGCCATTGCGATAAACCGTAAATAGGCTACTCTAGTACTTAGCTGTAGGAACCTCTGCCATTGCTTCAGTGAAGGCCAATGCCAAACATTGTATCAGATGCTTACTCTTTGCCAGAAGCCACACATCTGTTAGCCGAGTTTGTTTACAAAGCCTGTTGTACACGTCATTCTTCAAGTCTTCACTCACCAAATAGATTTCTCGGAGTCTATTAATCACTTTGTTCTAAGTACGCAAAGTTTACAAGCATTCAACGGTTTACCTCTGCAAAGAGTTTACTAGAATAGCAGCGTTTACTGATAAGATATTATATGCGTAGCTTGACTCCATTTAGGATAATCATTATCATTATCAATTTAGATGGGGACGCTATCTATGTGCGTATTTGAACCCAAATATGAGTGAAAGATGAGTAGGATGATGGTGTGAGATGATCTGTGTGGACAACAATATTCTAGTATTAAGACCGAAATACTCTTCTCGGTGTCTTAACCTTGTGTAAAGGATGAGGATGGAATGATGAGAAACACCTTCGTATCTTTGCTAATGACTATACATAAAATTGTATTAGATTAGATGAATTTGGACTAGGGTACGTATTTTAAGGCCAAAAAGAGTGAGTGCGGGTGGGTTGAATAAGTGAGATCTTTAAGATGGAAGCTTTGAACATTGGTCAGGAATATATTTGTTGAGATCGCAGGGATTAGGGATAGATGGTTTCTAACTGTCAAAAATTACTTCTCTCAGAATTGAACCAGCTACTCTCTGATTATTTTGTGATAATCCGACACAGCTAAAAAAAATTTTTGCACCGCAACGTATACACTGAGATAACTCACACTGAGAAGCGTGAGGTTAATTTTTTTTGTATGACAGTTTACTTCAGCATTGTACACTGTGAAGGTGGTGGAATGGACCTTTGGTCTAAACCTTCACATGTAAAATAAACAAGTTATCAAGTTATTATCAGGCAAGTACCATAACCAATAATCTACTTATTATCCCTACTCTTCACTGTGAGGAAAACCACACATCAGCAAACCTGATTTTACTTACGACCTATTTACAGGTTGAAAAGGAATATTTTAGCACTTAATAAGAGTGAGACGATATAGAGAGTGAGTGAGTGAGATGATATCTCACGCCAGGACGGTAGTGAGTATGGCGAGTGACCGTGAACTATGACCCAGTAGTCTGCAACTCCGCCGTGCTTTGTTCCTCGTCCTCCAACAGAGCCAACTAATCTACTTATGGGGTTTCAAGGAGTTCTGCTCCTCACGATGTTGGATCATACGCTCAAAGTTCAATGTTGAAACCATAGTAGGTAAAATCGGTGTTTTAAAGACGTAGTGCATGTTCTTTCTCAAGAAACTTTAAATCTGAGCCCTTAATGAGCATTCTGGGCATTTTGACTGTTGTGTGTTAAACTTGAAGCTATATAAGTGCTATATATATACATAAGAAGCTATACAAAAAATAAAACTCGCATTATACCCACAATAAGAAACAGTTAGATAAACTTGTATCAGTTACTGCCTAGCAAGTGTTATAAAGCCGCAACCCCACTATGCAAAATCTTATCAAAACTGCCGAAGAATGAATAAGAACACAGTTTTTTTATTGCTACCAGATCGATTACTCCAAACTAAACAGGTATCAAATCGCGTTCTTAAAATTTTCTCATTAATATGGAGGAAAATAGTGATTTTTTCAACAATTTTTTTTATTCTGTAGATTGTCCATTTCTTTTATATTATGAATTCAAATGAACCATTTAAGTTGCAAGGTTAATGTTGTATGTATTTTTTATTCGACAACTTCATTACCAACGCATTATATTTTTCTACGTGGGGACTCTATTTCCAGAGAAACCTTTATTTCTAGTTGTATGGGTGAATAAGGTTGTAGAAATAACCAGTGTTATTTTCTTTGGTTTGTTATATTATAATTCGCGACGTGACCATCTATTGAAACTAACATTGTTTACAAATAAAATATTTGTATATCGACAGGTTTAGTTTCAATATCGAAATTGGAGATACAATTTAAGAGTATTTGTTTTGCTACAGATGCGAAAGAAGAACCAGACAATTAAAATTCAAGTAAATAAACAGTAATGCTGAATAAATTGTCATTAAAATCTTAAAGCTGAACTGCCTGTGTCGGCCAAACTTGATATACGGCTAAATGGCTAACCGATACGCCTTATTGCACTATAACCAGATTTGCCATGAAATATGACAGGCAATAAAGACGTTGTATAACAGTCCCGTTTTCACAAAATACCTTTAATCAACGACCACTCGATGCGCCATCAACCTGTTCTAAAATGTGAAAACACTGATGTTAAAGTTCATTTCCGTTGTGCATAAGTTGTTTACAGCAAGTTGTGTTACGTTGCACACTATATGACATTTCTTCGAAGTCGTCAAGCAGCTTTATCTGAGAAGTGGTGAAAGTGTGATAACCTTTATCAGAGGTGGAGTTGAGTGGTTGGTTCTGACTCTAGGGTGACAAATGACTCAATTTCCAGATCTTAAACTTCAAGGTTGTCTCAAATGCAGGTAAGAAAATGGAAAGACAAACATTCCATTAGTTTATAATGGCAACAGAGACGTTGCGAGCTGTCAAAATGTTTATTTTGCAATGGTGCCAAAGCACAAAAGTGGACAAGGATGCAATCTCAGTCTATATATACTTATGATTTAA